TAATGGGTCCAGGGACTGGGCCTCAAAGTTTTGATAGCTGAGCAAGTTACAGAGGCAATGAATTCACAATTTACAAAGGTAATGAACTCACAATTTACAAAGGTAATGAACTCCAGGTAGGTCTAGTCACAATCATTACAAGTTACAAAGGTATTTACAGATTACAGAGGTACACAATGGGTCCAGGGACCGGGCTCCAAAGTTTTGATGGCTGAACTAGGTACAACGGCGAGGTAAAAAACTCATTTCCCCAAGGCACTGTCCTGGCACCTCTGCTGTTTCTCATCCTCATATTAGACATTGAGATAAACACCCATCGCAGTTTTGTATCATTTGCAGATGACGCTAAAATAAGCATGAAGGTCACTTCGGTAGAAGACGCAAAAATTACAAAAAAGATATAAGCAGTGTTTTCTAGTGGGCAGTGGAAAACAACATGACGTTCAGTGGTGATAAGTTCCAACTGCATAGGTATAGAAAGAATGAAGAAATCAAAACGACCACTGTATACAAAACTAAAAAGGATCGTCAAATAGAACGAAAGGAACACGTGAAAGACTTGTGAATAATTATATCGGCTGACCTTTCTTTCAAAGATCACAAAACAAAGGTCACGACAGCCACGAGGATGACGGGGTGGGTAATGAGAACCTTCAAAACTAGAAAAATAATGCCAGTGGTGACAATTTTCAGATAGCTAGTGTTCCCTCGTTTGGAATATTGCTCAGTGTTGACGGCCCCTTTCAGGGCAGGAGGAATATCAGAGCTGGAACAAAATCAGAGATCGTTTACGTCCTGCATAGAGCTGGTAAAGCATTTAAATTACTGATAGTGTCTTAGTCTTAAATATGTACCTGGAAAATACTCGAGGGCCTGGTCTAAATTTTCACACTGCCATAACAACATACTGGAACAAGAGATATGGGAGGAAGTGCAAAACAAATCCAGTGAAGAGCAGGGGTGCGGTGGGCACAATAAGGGAACACTGTATCAACATCCGTGGCTGCAGATTATTCAACATCTTACCAGAAGATATCAGAAACACTGCTGGGACAAGTGTAGAGGTCTTCAAGAAGAAGCTGGACAAGTATCTTACCAAGTGGATATGTGGGGCAACAGACATTCCGTAGCAATAGCCTGGTTGACCAGGCATGCACCAGACGAGCCTGGCCAGTGACCGAGCTCCGGGAGTAGAAAGACTCAAAACTCATCAAAGTTACATCACAGGATATTTAGGGGTCATTACAACTGAATAGGATTAGGGCTGATGGAATTATGGGTAGGGATGTTTGACCTCTAACCAGTTAAAGGTGTTCATTACCGCCGAGAACATGGGTAATGAAAGATAAAGATCTGGGAAGTGTTTGATCATTACCAACCAAAGATTAAATTCCTTATTTCAGCATGATACAAAGTTTGTACAGAGGTGGGTGACATTTAGGTGTGCATGCAGAAAGCCCCTTAGTATGCAGAGCATTTCGGGTCGTCACCAGCTGGAGGGAGACTACTAGTGTAAGGGGGATAAAGGGGGATATTTAAGGGTCATTAACGTTGGGGTTCCAGTTGTGAAGCTACCACACAAGAAATGTTTTTGTTTGGTGATAGAGATAGAGGGATCGTAATGTGAGTTTGATGGTACGAGTGAGAAGAACCGACTGACTGACCGACTCGATTCGACTCGACTCCGGAGTTAACACCAAGTCTGTCTACTTAGAACTAGCTACTGCTCTCTAAGGGCTCTCCAGTTTTGGAGATAAATGGTATAAAATACCGACATGATGGAAAAATACACAAATAATGCAATCCTTTACTACGTTTCGCCCACACAGTGAGTGAAACGTAGTGATAAATCCCACTCTGTGAGCGAAACGTAGTCAATAAAGGATCGCATTATACTGCATTTGTGTATTTTTTTCCCACTGTCCTATGTTTAGGTGTAAGAGTCGAGGATAGAAAAGCAGAAGGCTCTTGTCCCACCCTCCACTTCGGCCACTGTCGGCATGACAACAAAGGGAAAAAATATACCATACCAAATTAGAAAAATGGCGTAGCATTTACAGGAGAGTGAAAGTGAGTGAGAGAGAAGGAAAACGAAAGTGAAGTGAGTGGCAGGCTTGACCCAAAACTAGCTCAAATTATTTAGTAGTGTTTTCCATCTTAGATACCCGTCTTATACCACTGCCACTCAGAGCTGTGTACCAGTGGTTCTACTTTTGGTTACCACCGGTTCTGTTATGACTAATAACCACCTAAGTCTGCCACCTCTACCATTAATTCTGTTGCCTCGTTGTCAAATGATCGTCCTAATGTAGTTGCTCAACAAACATCAGAAATGCGTTAACGTCAGGTCATCCCAGCGTCATTTCTAATTTAATTGAATATTCTATTTGCAAAGTGATTTTTCAGCTGGTTCTCGAGTGACTTTGTTGTCTATACACATATACAGTAACTGCACAGGTGGAGAGGGGAAGAGACTAGTACCTGAACATTAAAATGGTATAAAATACCGACAGGTTGTTAGGTAAGACACGTATGCAACAGTCTGGTATCTTTATTTCGAAACATTTCGCCTACACAGTAGGCTTCTTCAGTCGAGTACAGAAAAGTTGATAGAAGCAGAAGAGACTTGAAGACGATGTAATCAGTCCATCCTGTCACTTCTACTCCATATTGTTTCAGACTATGGAACAAGACTCTTCTCCAGATTGAGGGACTGACCACCTCAAAACTTCAAGGGTGATGGACTGATTACATCGTCTGCTTCTATCAAGTTTTCTGTACTCGACTGAAGAAGCCTATTGTGTAGGCGAAACGTTTCGAAATAAAGATACCTAACTGTTGCATATGTGTCTTACCTAACAGACTAGTACCTCTCCACTCAAACTAGTACACGAGGCACCTTGGCTATGTACCTGTAGATTGTTCCTGGGAGTTGACTCATCCTTATTTGGTCTCAGGACAGTCATCATGGTTGATGGTCTGGTAGGTTAGGTTTTTGGTGCTAGCTACACTCAGTCCTCGCTATGCTCCCAAGACTGACTAGGGGCTAATTGAGTAAATTAAATTACTTTTGAAGACAGTGTGTGTTGGTAAGTGCCCTTGAAGAGTCTTGGTCCCTTTACACGAGGGTGTAAAGGGACACAAAGGTGTAACGTAGCTGGATCGCTAGCACACAGCTCAGACTAAGGTCCGGGATCGATTCCCCCGGTACGGCTGGAAAACATTAAGACGTGTTTCCGTAAGACACCTGTTGTCCATGTTCACCCAAAAGTAAAATGAGTACCTGGGTGTTAGTCGACTGGTGTGAGTCGCATCCTGTGACAAAATTAACCTAATTTGCCCGAAAAGCTCTGCATAATAAGCGGCTTTGTATATAGTAGCTACGCCTGTATGCCTCGTACTTGTAGAAATAGATATTATTATTATTATTATTATTATTATTATTATTATTATTATTATTATTATTATTATTATTATTATTGTATCTTAGAGTATTCATTGCACGCCCGCTTTTCATTTGAGATATTCAGCACCATCTTTTAGTGCGCAAAATCCAGGGCGAAAACCACATCCAGTATAGAGTTCTTAGTGATAAAACAGTGATGACATTACGGAAACGAGTGAGATACTGAAACCACAATGCGACTATGATTAGTGAACCACTCATGGACGACTGAGTTTTTCACGAGACTCGAAACATAGCCGACATCTCCAAAAATTTCTCTTGTAGCCCTTTGCCTAGTTGACCTAGAAGCCATTGACAGTATGCCCATGACTTCTGTGTGGCCCCCATAGGGGCCACACAGCGCTTAGGGAAATGAAAGGCACTTAGATTCGATTCAAGGACTTCGAACATGGGTCCGCGCCAGAACCAGACTCTTGAACTCCATAATCATAAAAAAAATAGCCTTTAATTAATATTCTGATATTTCCCCACTTCACAAAGGTAGCAGTGAAGTAATGGCGGAAAACTAGACCAATAGCGCCAACTTAACACAATATCTAAATCTTTGAACGAGTCCTAAGCAAGATTGCCGGTCACATGGAATCACAACAGTTGCACAATCTAGGGCAGCATAAGTTCAAAGGAGGCAACTTCTGCCTTTCACAACTTCTAGACATTACGACATGGTCTTGGAAACACTGAAAGACAAGCTAAATACTGATGTGCTGTACAGTGATTTTGCAAACGTTTTATACGAATACTACTGTATATTCGGTCAGACATTTGACTTAATAGGAACACTACTCTTGAATTGTACGACGTGGAACGTTGGTTTGATCATCTGTGTCTGCCAGATTGTCAGAAGTACTTATAACCAAGCCCGAACCTGGCTGCTGCAACATCAGTCTGTTCACATTACAAGTTGCTCAAGCGTACTTATCTAAGTTCATGTTATCGGCTTCTAACTGCATTGTTTCATTATTTACTTTAAACCTAATATTATTCCTAATGTTAGATACAGATACACCAAAGTTATATTCTACATTTTCCTTCTTTTTTTTTTGGCTTTAATATATCAACTTTACCATGGAGTAATCAGAATTGTGATGGAGTTCGTAACAATTGTACATTAAATCCTTTTTCCCTGATTTTTTTTTTAGCATCCATATCAGGTTTCTCCAATGAGCATGTTATTAGTCAGTGTGCGAGTCAAGAACTTTCAGTGATGACATAGAATCAGCAACAATCATAGAGTTAAACTCAGTGTCGTAACTTAACTTGAGCACCATCATGATGGCAAACAATTCAGTTTGCAGTGTACAAGTCCAATTTTTAATTCTTCCGCTTAATTCAACTTAGTTTTTGTAATTATCATCTAGAGAGATAGCAACAAGAGCAGATGCAGCCCTTCCAGTAGACTCCTGCATAGATTCATCAGTGTATATAACGTGTGATAGTCAGCACCACTCAGTGCTCGTCTCCTGACCGACTCGTGTCGGGTAGCCTTTTACTCTGGGGAATATACTAACAACAGCAACATTCTTGTCTTCCTCAGGTCGATTCTGCGGGGGCCTTAGACTTCCAGAGACGATAATATCGACGGGAAGCCGAATGCTCGTCACCTACGTTACCTCTGTCAACCAAAACGGCCACAAGGGCTTCACCGCTGCCTATGAAGGTGAGCTAATGGTAGGGCTGGTGGAGCACAAATTAGCCTCATTTTAATTCGTTAGTCATACATTTGATATACCTTTGGTCAGTTTTGAGTTTTTCTACTCCGAGCCGGTCTTGGGCCAGCTTCGTCTGGTGCTTGCCTGGTTAACCAGGCTGTTGCTGTTGGTGTCCCGCTGACCCCCATATCTACCACGTCTTGCCAGGTACACGTCAGTTTCTTAACGCTTCCTGCATATTTAAAATATATTTCCATAAAATTATATTTGGTACGTTTAGGTTAAACTATAAAGACTCATATTCACCCACAAATAACCAAATTAATAGAAGATAGGCTGCGATGCATGTAGCTTCGATGTCGACGAGGGTAACCAGGAAACGTTCAAATCAGCATGAATATTGTAGTGCAAGAATGAGTTGTGTAGCCTCTAGTTCTCTGGAGGGCATCATTGTTGTTCATTAAACGTGATTGGGACATTAATATACATACTGAGAGGTTGAACTATGCACTGAACTGCGTGTATAGGCAGGAGTTCAGAACAGAACTGTTGTGTACATTACTGCTACTATGGGCCTTATTACTTTATGATTTGTTCATGATTGTAACCGTGTATAGACGTGTAGACGATTCATTACCTTATTATATTGTTCAGTTATCAAAACTTTGGGGTCCAGTCCTTGGACCCATTATGTACCTCTGTAATCCTTGACAACCGCTCACAGGATGGGTATGGGGTGCATAATGAAGATGTTAAACTAACATGGGCCTACTGGCCCATGGTAGCAGTAATGGCGTACACTAGTGATAAGTTGATGTATAAGGCACATGTACACCTGGGTATCATCATTCTCAAGACGTTTCGCCAACCAGTGCCTTTATTAATCCAGTATAAATGTTATTGTAGGTGTTGAAACTGGAGACAGTAGAAGACGAGGTGGTCAGTATCTCACCCTAGATAAAGGCGTTCAGCACCTTTAGATGAATCTTAAGCATAGGAAGATAGACACTTATATAGGTGACAAATGAAATGCAGCAGTAGAGGGCATAGTCACCTTGGGCGGGACCCACGGTGACATTGCTCAACTCTTGGTCATGACCCTCTCAAGGGAGGCTCCTTGACGCTGGTGAGGGGCTCTTGCTCTAGGGAATTGGATCTGTGCTCCAGTTCCCTGAATTCAGCCTAAATACCTTCTATCCCCTCCCCCCAGGTGCTGTATAATCCTATGGGTTTAGCGCTTCCCCATGATTATTATAATAATATTGGTCATGACTTCTGCTAGTGGGATCCGCCCACGGTGATGATGCGTTAATATAAACACACATACAGTATAATGTGATCCTTTATTAACAACGTTTCGCCCACACAGTGGACTTTATCAAGTTACAGGCTTGATAAAGCGCACTGTGTGGGCGAAACGTTGTCAATAAAGAATCACATTATACTACATGTGTTTATTTTTCCACTGTGTCGGTATTTTATACCATTTATTTCCATGATGCGTTTAACTGCAGCACTGGTCACTGGTCACAGACCGGGCCGCGGGGGCGTTGACCCCCGAAACTCTCTCCAGGTAAACTCCAGGTAAACTCTTATACTAGTGTCACATCTACCCGCCTATGCTTTTAAAATTCATCTGAACTCAGGTGGTGAATATCTTCATGTAGGCTGAGAGATTGAATACCTCGCCATCTGTTGTCTCCAGTTTCATCACCCCCATTAACCTCTGTATTAAACTGATAAAGCAGCTGGTTGGCGAAATGTCTTCGGAATAGGATACCCAAGTGTTGAACATGCTTTACTAATCAACTTGTTCATATTGTATACCATTAATATGAATGGGGAACACGTAAAAGAAAGAATGGTAAAAACGGCACAGATGTTTAATGTAAGACAGTGGAAAGAAGCAAGTGTAGTAGGTGCAGTCTAGAACTACACTTTCATTTACCAAACATTTCATTTACACACAGATCATTAGTCAGGTCACTCGTTCTCTCTGATGTGTAATAAGGGCCCTTTCAAAGCCGGCGAAATTACCGAGTTAGAAAATATAGAGAATCTTCACAGCTTGTATAAACTCAAATACCTAAATTACTGAGAGCTCCTGACGTCCCTAGAACTGTACTACTCGAAGCATAGGCGAGAAAAGTGCATCATAGTCTACACCTGGAAGATAATGAAGGGATTGGTCCCAAACCCGCACGTCGAAATTACTAAGTATGATGATAAACTTGGCAAGATACTTCCGGTGAACAACAGGGAAGCGGTGAGAGTAAGTCAAGGAAAGAGAACTCAATAAATTTTAAGGGAACCCTCCATTAATGCATAAGAATTGCGAACAACTTTTCAGCTGTCTTCGAGAGGGAACTCGACAAATTCTTCAAATCATCTGATCAGTTGTATTGTGATACATGCATTGGACTGCTGGCGGCACCAACAACTTGATCTATCAAGCCAGCAACCAGGGACTAAGTCGTGGCGGCAATAACCTCGGGAAACGACTACAGGAAGCTTTCTACAACAGATGGGAACATAAAAAGTCTGGGCTGAATGGTACTGCCCTTGATACTGGCCATGTAGTCAGAAACTGTAAGGCTGGAGATGAAGTCCTGGTAGTCAGTAAATGTGGGGTTGATAGTGCTGTCCTGGGAGACAGTAATGGTGAAGCTGGAGGTGCTGTCCTGGGAGACAGTAATGGTGAAGCTGGAGGTGCTGTCCTGGGAGACAGTAATGGTGAAGCTGGAGATGCTGTCCAGGGAGACAGTAATGGTGAAGTGGGAGGTGCTGTCCTGAGAGACAGTAGTGGTGAAGCTGGAGGTGCTGTCCTGGGAGACAGTAATGGTGAAGCTGGAGATGCTGTCCTGGGAGACAGTAATGGTGAAGCTGGAGATTTTGTCCAGGTAGTCGGGAATTATACGCAGGAAGGAATACATATAAATGACCTCATAGGGGACAGGAGCCATAGTAGGGAAACAAGTGTAGTCAAAGATAAGATAAAACCAATATTGCAAACTAGAAATACCGCAGGAAATAGCAAACAAGAGGACTCCACTAGCAATAGTGAGGATATATTACCAAAAACAACTGGTGGGAGCTCCATTGTTGGTGCTAGGGAGGATAGAAGTAAGACAGGGAAACATGCACCAACAGGGAATACAGTCACAGAAACCCAAGGCAAACGGAAACCAAGCCTGTGCACATACTATGCACTTGGTATCTGCTGGCATGGGAAATCTGGAAAAACAGATGGGACGTGCAACTATGACCACCCTAGAAAATGCCATGCCCATATGACAACAGGAAAATGCAAACTCCCTTCCTGTAAGCTTTTTCACCCTGAACTGTGTACCTCTTCAGTACAGGAAAGACTGTGCTATAACTTAAATTGCCAGGCATACCATCTAAAGGGGACAAAAAGATACAAAACATCCAGGCCATGGGAAAACCTGGGTAGCCACAGCCACTCAAGAGGGAGTGGTTTTTTAGTGCCAGGAAGGAAAAAAAACTGGCAGGAAATGGCAGAAATCGTACACCAAATCCAGTAATTCCTGGAGTGGAACCACAGTCGATGGCCTCCACTCCAAACCAACAGATACAGATACTAATGCCGGAAAAAAAATCCCCCCCAGTACCAACAATACCACCAGTCCGATAACATTCTTCTTTGCAAATATACAGGGTCTAAAGCCAGCAACAAACAACAAAATACCCTTCATCCGTGGACTGCTTGCAGAGGCAAAGGCAATGTTCGCGGCTTTCACTGACACCCACATAAAGGATCACTTGGACAACGAAATATGGATCCCAGGTTACAACCTATACAGATGTGACAGAGTGAACAGGCAAAAGGGGGGGGTTGGCCTGTACATTGCAGAGTCACTTGTTTGCACAGAACTGCTTAATGCCTCAGATGATGTAGTGGAAGTTTTAGCAGTAAAGGTCGAGAACCAAAACCTAGTCATTGTGGTAGTCTACAAGCCTCCGGATGCAACATCCCAGCAATTCCAGGAACAGCTGTTAAAAATTGACCACTGTCTGGAAAATCTTCCAGCTCCTGCACCCAACATCTTGCTCCTGGGGGATTTCAACTTAAGGCACCTAAAATGGAGGAATATAGCAAATAATATTGTTGCAGTAATAACACCAGGAGGCAGCTCTGATGAAAACTCACACTCACACGAGCTTTTAAATCTCTGCACAAAATTCAATTTAAACCAGCAAATAATAGAGCCTACTAGACTGGAGAATACACTAGACCTCATCTTCACTAACAATGATGATCTGATAAGAAATGTCACCATATCAAAAACAATATACTCAGATCACAACATAATTGAGGTTCAGACATGTATGCATGGAGCCCCAGACCGACATAATGAGACTAGTCACGAGGGAGCATTCACCAAATTCAACTTCAATAACAAAAACATAAAGTGGGACCAAGTAAACCAAGTCCTAACCGATATAAGCTGGGAAGCTTATATCGGTCCCCAACGTATGCCTAGAACAGATTAACTCGGTGGCACTCGATGTATGCACAAGGCTTATTCCTCCAAGAAAAAGGAGGAGTAGATGTAAAATAGAAAGAGACAGGCACTCCCTTTACAGGCGATGGAAAAGAATAACAGAGCGGCTAAAAGAGGTCAATATATCTGAAATGCGTAGGGAGACACTGGTCAGAGAAATAGCAAGCATCGAACTTAAGCTAAAAGAATCTTTTAGGAGTCAGGAATCGCGGGAAGAACTAAAAGCCATAAATGAAATCGAAAGAAACCCAAAGTATTTCTTCTCCTATGCCAAATCAAAATCGAGAACAACGTCCAGTATTGGGCCCCTACTTAAACAAGATGGGTCCTACACAGATGACAGCAAGGAAATGAGTGAGCTACTCAAGTCCCAATATGACTAAGTTTTTAGCAAGCCGCTAACCAGACTGAGAGTCGAAGATCAAAATGAATTTTTTTATGAGAGAGCCACAAAATTTGATTAACACAAGCCTATCCGATGTTATCCTGACGCCAAATGACTTCGAACAGGCGATAAATATGCCCATGCACTCTGCCCCAGGGCCAGACTCATGGAACTCTGTGTTCATCAAGAACTGCAAGAAGCCCCTATCACGAGCCTTTTCCATCCTATGGAGAGGGAGCATGGACACGGGGGTCGTCCCACAGTTACTAAAAACAACAGATATAGCCCCACTCCACAAAGGGGTCAGTAAAGCAACAGCAAAGAACTACAGACCAATAGCACTAACATCCCATATCATAAAAATCTTTGAAAGGGTCCTAAGAAGCAAGATCACCACCCATCTAGAAACCCATCAGTTACACAACCCAGGGCAACATGGGTTTAGAACAGGTCGCTCCTGTCTGTCTCAACTATTGGATCACTACGACAAGGTCCTAAATGCACTAGAAGACAAAAAGAATGCAGATGTAATATATACAGACTTTGCAAAAGCCTTCGACAAGTGTGACCATGGCGTAATAGCGCACAAAATGCGTGCTAAAGGAATAACAGGAAAAGTCGGTCGATGGATCTATAATTTCCTCACTAACAGAACACAGAGAGTAGTCGTCAACAGAGTAAAGTCCGAGGCAGCTACGGTGAAAAGCTCTGTTCCACAAGGCACAGTACTCGCTCCCATCTTGTTCCTCATCCTCATATCCGACATAGACAAGGATGTCAGCCACAGCACCGTGTCTTCCTCTGCAGATGACACCCGAATCTGCATGACAGTGTCTTCCATTGCAGACATTGCAAGGCTGCAGGCGGACATCAGCCAAATCTTTCAATGGGCTGCAGAAAACAATATGAAGTTCAACGATGAGAAATTTAAATTACTCAGATATGGTAAATATGAAATTAAATCTTCATCAGAGTACAAAACAAATTCTGGCCACAAAATAGAGCGAAACACCAACGTCAAAGACCTGGGAGTGATTATGTCGGAGGATCTCACCTTCAAGGACCATAACATTGTATCAATGGCATCTGCTAGAAAAATGACAGGATGGATAATGAGAACCTTCAAAACTAGGGAGGCCAAGCCCATGATGACACTCTTCAGGTCACTTGTTCTATCTAGGCTGAAATATTGCTGCACACTAACAGCACCTTTCAAGGCAGGTGAAATTGCCGACCTAGAAAATGTACAGAGAACTTTCACGGCGCGCATAACGGAGATAAAACACCTCAATTACTGGGTGCGCTTGAGGTTCCTAAACCTGTATTCCCTGGAATGCAGGAGGGAGAGATACATGATTATATACACCTGGAAAATCCTAGAGGGATTAGTACCGAACTTGCACACGAAAATCACTCACTACGAAAGCAAAAGACTTGGCAGACGATGCACCATCCCCCCAATGAAAAGCAGGGGTGTCACTAGCACGTTAAGAGACCATACAATAAGTGTCAGGGGGCCGAGACTGTTCAACTGCCTCCCAGCACACATAAGGGGGATTACCAACAGACCCCTGGCAGTCTTCAAGCTGGCACTGGACAAGCACCTAAAGTCAGTTCCTGATCAGCCGGGCTGTGGCTCGTATGTTGGTTTGCGTGCAGCCAGCAGCAACAGCCTGGTTGATCAGGCTCTGATCCACCAGGAGGCCTGGTCACAGACCGGGCCGCGGGGCCGTTGACCCCCGGAACTCTCTCCAGGTAAACTACAGGTAAAAGGTTAAAGGTAACCTAGTATTGGACTCTCAACAATGGACAAGCATCTAGGTAGCCACTTGTTACTAGGTGGAGAGAGGGTGATGGCTCTGCCACTGATGTAGAGGTATTAAGGGTGTATGTAGTAAGAGGAGTGTAGAAGCAAGGTAGCGGTCATAGTATCATCAGGAAAAATGGGTGTTGAGGCGGGTTGGTCCTGTGCTGACTTGCTCGCCATTACATACCTCCACTGGCGCAGCCTCAGTGCTTGATATATTTTTAATGGCTAATTTTAACTAGTGACCACAAAAACACCAAAGTTTCAGAAATGGACATGTGTCATGGTGTTCATTGTGACGTGGATGATCTGGAGTTTATACTGTGTGAAAATTATGAAATATATGGAAAATTTTCTAGGGTGCTTACCTGTATGTACCTCAACATTATATACATACCAGTAATCTCATTGGGAGACAATCATATTGTTTACCGTAGTCACCCCGTGTAGACATGTGAGAAAACTTAACCACCCCTGGTCGCACCAAGTGGTCCCCTCGACCTCACAATCTTATCCATATCTATCCGAGACCAGTATGGATTGGGTAGCACCCACAAGTACGGTGCTACTAATTAATTGTGGACTGTATAGATTATATTAGTTTAGCTGAATGAAGGGGAGGGGGGTAGGATACACCTGGATACATCCGTCAAGGAAAACATTTGTACATAATCCCACTACTTACCAGATGTTCTCTGGTGGTCACTTGATGTAGCTGGATCACTCATAACCTATCTAATTATAACATACCACCACTGGCCAGTCTAAGGTTGCTATAACTAGAAGGGTTACTTAACTGTGGGTGATTGATATTCCTCATTTCTTGATTCACCATCTCATTTTCGATGTCCTGCTACACCGACACGATTCTCATTCCAGCAGGACGAGGTATCCGCTGGTTTGTCCTGCTTTAGACGTCGTGACTCAAGGAGTTTCCCTTTCCTCGTCTCGTTAACAACGAGGTCTAGCGTGTTCACTCGGAGCAAACGACTTATTTCACTTCACATATTCTCTTAACTTAGCGTTATTATCCTTAATTACATTACAATTCACAAGACGATTTAATGACTCAAATTATTATACACATTAGAGATCACTCCATTAAGATCTGAGACCGATGAGTGATGATTAAACCAAGGGTAATTTTCCCGGGGCTCAGTCCAGGACGACGCGTCAGTCACCCCCGGTCCTACCCGTAATCACCTTTTACCACTCTATTATCGTGGTCCCGTAAATCACGTTCCCTCACTCTCCACTAGGAACAGTCACGACACTTCCTATTACGAAATGAGGCCTATATTAATCCTTAGGCCGCCGTGAATGCCAATTTCGTGGTACCATGCCTTTTCCGCTTCCTCTCCACCTTCAAAACAAACCCGCCACTCCCCCCCGCACATCCGCGCATGCGCAAAGGGAGCTCTTGGTTCTACTCTTATTTTCAAATACATTTTTGACCCATATAGACACATTGAACACCTATTAGGCACTATAGTTTCGGAAAATTAAAAAATTTTCCACAAAATACGTTTGGTAAGTTAGCTGTGTGATGGGAGACACTTGAGGCTGCTGACTCCAGTACTGACAAGTCAGCAATCACTGCTGTTTTGGATCACCATATTATTTGTATAAATGATTTAGAAAACCGACAAGTTGATAATGAGACACTTGGGCAGCATTTGGGAATCTTTATTCTCCAAACGTTCTGAGAAGAAATATACCCAAATGTTGCCCAAGTGCCTTTATCACCATAATATTAATGGCGCCTTGAAACTCGTAAATTTTCCGCAGAAACAGCCATTGGGAACCAGTTTTATTATTTTGTCCTAAACTTTGAAGATAAGGATAAATAGTATTCGTGTAGTTTATTTTGTTACGAGAGTTTGTGTCCCTCACTGACCAGTGTGTGAGACAACATGCTGAGAAAGGAGAGCAAAATAGAACTGGGCTGTAATTTTGCTGCATGTAGGAGTAGTTTGTGGTGCGAGTAGGTTGTTGAGTGTCTCACAGTGCATCATGTTCCCCATGCATCTGTTACCAGCGAGGTTTTGTTGCACAGTGACACTTAACAGCCGGGGCACCTCCAGACACCTGACTAGGGTCTTACCACCGACATTATTGCACTGAGTATTGACCATGCGGGTTATATGTAGCGCTCTCATACACCATTGCAGCCCTGAACAACAATGTTTATATCAGAGATTTTCACAACGTACTGCTAAATTTTAATTTTAGCTGTGTGTGGAGGAGAGCTGACGATGGAGGAGGGTCACCTGGAGAGCCCCAACTACCCTGATGACTACCGTCCCAACAAGGAGTGCATATGGAAAATTACAGTTCCAGATGGATACCAGGTGGCACTCAGATTCCACTCCTTTGAGGTAGGTAGTGACAGCAGTTCATACAGAAGTATTTGTAAAAATTCAATATATATTCTGTGCGTGGATGTTCATGTGCTTGTAGAATTTTGCAGTTTTTTTTTTTTCCTTCCTTAGAAAACATGCATTTTTTTATTATTATTTTTTTTTTATTCTTGGATATAATATTGTGTTTATGAACATGTACTTGCGTTGTAATAGTCAAGAATTTGCCTTAGACTATTGAAAATTAACTGCTTTAAGTCAGTGATGGTTCAAGAGACCCCTTATATGTGTATGGCTTTATTGATTATTAAAGCTACTTGCACACCCCTTCTCATCAAATTAAGAGCATTTTGCATGTACTATTAATAGGTTAATGTATGATATGGGTTGTGTACGAATGGTATATAATACCGACAAGATGAGATTAAGACACATGTGCAACATCTGGGTATCTTTATTGTAGACGTTTCGCCATCCAGTGGCTTTATCAATACAAATTCTAGGACATAACTTGAAGACAGTAGAACTATGTACAGAAGATGAGGTAATCAGATGAGGTAATCCTACTCCTAGGTTGAGGGACTGATTACCTCATCTTCTGTACATAGTTCTACTGTCTTCAAGTTATGTCCTAGAATTTGTATTGATAAAGCCACTGGATGGCGAAACGTCTACAATAAAGATACCCAGATGTTGCACATGTGTCTTAATCTCATGATATGGGTTGAATCAAACCACAACCATCACACATAACATGGAGCTGAAGAGGCTTTAGTTACATAGAATAAATATATTAGCTCTGTCTTTAAGTAAAATTTTTCACTTTCATATGTCGTTAAATTATCACTGTTAATGTATAACTTGTGCTGTAAATGTGCATCAAACTACTTTTAGGAATACAGTTTTTTTTTCCGGAATATAGGGAACCCTCAATAAAGTAGATCTATAGAGAAAAGGGATGTCCGATTTAACAAAAGTTAATTGTATGGAAATGATCAATGTACTATTGGACATTGATAAATGTCCAGTACTGGATATACACAGAATAAACCACAGTATTACAACACTGCACAATAACTTAAAGTACTGTTGAAAGTACAGAAGAGTACAATAGCATACAGTTTTTTTTATGTAGTATATAACTTTTCTGGTGTATAGATGAAGTTACAGTTGATTCACATGTTGTCTGGTGGTGACTCAGAGTAAATGTTAATTTGAATCAGGGAAAATGAAAAGCTCATCAGTAATATAGATAGTGTAAATGATGTGATGAATGGTTTGAAAAACAATCTTCAGTGTAGAAGATGTACAGGTAGATAAAACAGGAGATTTAGATGAAATGGGAGACATACAGGAGATGTAGATGGTGTGGAGGACATCATTTGCTTTGATATGTCATACTCTTTGCATACCCAGGCCATTGAGATGCCAGACTCCACTCAGGTTGTCACACTTCTTGGCACCATCACTTCTTGTCATCTACAATGGCATCTTGTAGATGCCATTGTAACACTGTACCTGATATTTTCACAATAAACACTATATCCAGAGGAATGTGGGGACTAAATGATATTGCAAAATGCTAACAAAAAGCTCTTGCACTGCCGTGAAAAAAAATGCATAGGCTTAGCTTCTTTGCTACTTCTCAAAACATTTCTGAAACTTTCCTTATGGTGTCTAGTGAGGCCTACAATCACCTCCATGTTGTAAAAATGCCACCCTTTGAGTGCTTTTTTTTTTGGGGGGGGGGAAGGGAAGAGAAGTCATAGGGGGGATAACCCTGGGAAGTGGGAAGGGTGGGAGACAACTGCCAATTTTTTGGCCAGAAAACACAATAGTCTTTTTGGTCTTGAGTCAGCAAGCGGGGCACAAATTTTACAGCCAAAACCCATTCTAGGTATACTCCAGGTATCTTGCACATTATTATTATTATTATTATTATAATTTTGCTTGATTATTATGTTTATTTAATTTTTATTAATTTATTTTTATTTTATTTATTACAGAATAATAATAATAATAATAACAGTAATAAGAAATATGGGTAGACACTAAACTTGCCTTTAATTTTCTGTGTGTATTTGTTTATACAATTGACCAAGGTTTATTAATTACAATAATGAGGGAGTATTAAACCCATAGATGTTATACAGTACCTGGAGAGTAAGAAATGGGGGAGAATGAAATGTGATCCAGGAAAGATGAGGGTATTTAATGTTTCTTGGATCAGGAACCCTTAACCAATACTGAGGAAGATCATGTTTATTGCACCTTTGTATTTGGAAAACTTTCATGATTCTTGTCCTGCGGTTTTGGGTATTTAAACCTAAATCTGTTATATTTTTTATGTGCGGTACTATATTCCATGTTATAGTACGTATACATTAATGTATTATTTATACGTACTATAACATGATGCACTGCATTTAAATAAATCTAAATCAGTTATTCAGGTAGGTTAAACTAAACTATTATATATTGCATAAATTTGACCAAGAGTATTTTACAGTGCTTGGTTAGTTTTTGAGTTAAAACAAAGAACTGAAATATAAAAAAAAAGGCATTACAGTGTACCCCCGGTTTACGATATTATTTCATTCCAGAAGGATGTTCAGGGCCAGTACCGAACGAATTTGTTCCCATAAGGAATATTGTGAATTAGATTAGTCCATTTCAGACCCCCAAACATTCACGTACAAACGCACTTACATAAATACACTTACATAATTGGTCGCATTGGAAGGTGATCGTAAAGCGGGGGTCCACTGTATTTTAATCGACTGTTTTCCTGGTGGGAAGCTAGTGACAAATCTTGACAAATCATTAATTTTCTTGAATTTTAATGCTGTGCTAGTACAGGTATATAAATATTGACAGATTATGGAAACAGAGGCAAGCATGTATAATCAAGACAGTTAATGGAGGAGACATTCTGCCACTGGTGACATTAAGGCAAAATATTATTGGAGAAGGCTTCCATAGTTTTTCAAAAAGGGTAAATTAAAGTTATTTCAGAATAAACAAATTAATTGAAGAATCATTTTCATTAAGTCCATGTTTAAGTTTTCTGGTATGTTTGCTCTGTAGAATTTTTAAACTCAAAGTATGTACTTAACATTTAGCTGTACATACATAATTTTAAAATCATCTGGCGTAAATGAATGATTTTGACACTTGGAATAAATTTAATAAACATCTCAATTGTGCATTTACCTAGTTCCACAATATTATTACTGTTAGTGTACAGCACTGTAATATAAACAACTGTTATCAGTGTAGTTCATTGTTTCAATACTGTACAATCTTTCAGATTGAAAACCACGATGACTGCGTGTATGACTATTTGGACATTCGTGATGGCCATGAAGAAAACTCCACATTAATTGGGGTTTTTTGTGGTTATAAGAAACCAGAGGATATCAAATCGGCATCAAATAAAATGAGAATAAAATTTGTGACTGATGGTTCAGTTCAAAAAGCTGGATTCTCGGCCACATTCTTAAAAGGCAAGTTCATACTGTACAGAATTATAGGATAAAAATTACAAAATGAAATTACATTGAAGGTGTAATTATCATGTCATAAGGTCAAGGCTGAGAATATCAAGTTGGTATTACAGTCGAGCACTGACTGTTGCCAGGGGCATTTTCTGCCTAGCTTGTTACGAATATCTAAGGGAAAATTTCACTGAATAATTTTCAAGCCAAAACATTACAGTATTAACCAAAGAAAGCTATTTCACTGTGTGCCAAGATAAATTTTCCAGCTCTCAGACATATCATATTCTAAACTTAAGATCTTTGACTGTAATGTAATTCTGTCATATCAGTTATGTAAATAATTACACAACATTAATTAATGTTAGTATAACTCATGCTACCATATCATAATCAGTAGACTTAAAATAATTTAGATTGGTTATTGTAGGTATCCTGTTAAATGATACCTAGGTAAAAATGAAATGTGACATTTTAAGTACACAAATGTGTCACTTCGCCCAGGGAGGTACTACTGTCCTGCCAAGTGAGTGTAAAACGAAAGCTTGTAATTGTTGTACATGATGGTAGGATTGCTGGTGTCCCTTTTTCTGTCTCATAAACATGCAAGATTTCAGGTACATCTTGCTACTTTACTTACACTTAGGTCACACTACACATACATTTTTTTTTTTCAACAAGTCCGCCGTCTCCCACCAAGGCAGGGTGACCTAAAAAGAAAGAAAATCCCCAAAAAGAAAATGCTTTCATCATCATTCAACACTTTCACCTCACTCACACATAATCACTGTTTTTGCAGAGGTGCTCAGAACACAACAGTTTAGAAGCATATATGTATAAAGATACACAACATATCCCTCCAAACTGCTAATATCTCAAAACCCCTCCTTTAGAGTGCAGGCATTGAACTTCCCATTTCCAGGACTCGAGTCCATCTATATAAAAATAACCGGTTTCCCTGAATCCCTTCACTAAATATTACCCTGTTCACACTCCAACAGATCGTCAGGTCCCAAATACCATTTGTCTCCATTCACTTCTATCGAACACACTCATGGACGCCTGCTGGAAGTCCAAGCCCCTTGCCCACAAAGCTCCCCCACCCCTTCCTTCCAACCTTTTTGAGGATGACCCCTACCCTGCCTTCCTTCTCCTACAGATTTAAATGCTCTCCATGTCATTCTACTTTGATCCATTCTCTCTAAATGACCAAACCACCTCAACAACCCCTCTTCAGCCCTCTGACTAATACTTTTATTAACTCCACACCTTCTCCTAATTTCCACACTGAATTTTCTGCATAATATTTACACCACACATTGCCCTTAGACGGGACATCTCCACTGCCTCCAACCGTCTCCTCGCTGCTGCATTTACCACCCAAGCTTCACATCCATATAAGAGTGTTGGTACTACTATACTTTCATACATTCCCTTCTTTGCCTCCATAGATAACGTTTTTTGACTCCACATATACCTCAACGCACCACTCACCTTTTTTCCTTCATCAATTCTATGATTAACCTCATCCTTCATAAATCCTTCTGCCAGCACGTCAACTCCCAAGTATCTGAAAACATTCACTTCTTCCATACTCCTCCTCCCCAATTTAATATCCAATTTTTCTTTATCTAAATCATTTGATACCCTCATAACCTTACTCTTTTCTATGTTCACTTTCAACTTTCTACCTTTACACACACTCCCAAACTCATCCACTAACCTTTGCAATTTTTCTTTAGAATCTAACATAAGCACAGTATCATCAGCAAAAAGTAACTGTGTCAATTCCCATTTTGTATTTGATTCCCCATAATTTAATCCCACCCCTCTCCCAAACACCCTAGCATTAACTTCTTTTATGACCCCATCTATAAATATATTAAACAACCATGGTGACATTACACATCCCTGTCTAAGACCTACTTTTACCGGGAAGTAGTCTCCCTCTCTTCTACACACCCTAACGTGAGCCTCACTATCCTCATAAAAACTTTTTACAGCATTTAGTAACTTACCACCTATTCCATATACTTGCAACATCTGCCACATTGCTTCCCTATCCACTCTATTATAAGCCTTTTCTAAATCCATAAATGCAATGAAAACTTCCCTACATTTATCTAAATACTGTTCACATATATGCTTCAATGTAAACACTTGATCTACACATCCCCTACCCACTCTGAAACCTCCTTGCTCATCCACAATCCTACATTCTGTCTTACCTCTAATTCTTTCAATAATAACCCTACCGTACACTTTTCCTGGTATACTCAATAAACTTATTCCTCTATAATTTTTACAATCTCTTTTGTCCCCCTTCCCTTTATATAAAGGGACTATACATGCTCTCTGCCAATCCCTAGGTACCTTCCCCTCTTTCATACATTTATTAAACAAAAGTACCAACCACTCCAACACTATATCCCCCCTGCTTTCAACATTTCTGTCATGATCCCATCAGTTCCAGGTGCTTTACCCCCTTTCATTCTCCGTAATGCCTCATGCCCCTCCCCCACACTTACATCCTGCTCTTCTTCACTCCTAAAAGATGGTATACCTCCCTGGCCAGTGCATGAAATTACCGCCTCCCTTTCTTCCTCAACATTTAAAAGTTCCTCAAAATATTCTCACCATCTACCTAATACCTCCCTCTCCCCATCTGCTAACTCCCCTACTCTGTTTTTAACTGACAAATCCATACGTTCCCTAGGCTTTCTTAACTTGTTTAACCCTTTGACTGTTTCAGGCCCCTCTCTGAAACTGTCATTCTATGTCGCCAAATATTCGAAAAAAAAAAATTATTTTTTTTTATGAAAATGTTAGGAATATTTTTGTGAGTGTTTTAAGCCTAAAAAAAAATTTTGCCATCAGTACTTACCGAGATATAGAGCCGCAAAGTTTGCAGAAAGTGACGTGCGTACGGCAACAGCGGCGACTGCCGCCCACCCTGTATTCTTTTATTTACTCTAATTCAAAGGTTTCTTGCATTTTTCAATATTTTTCTGTTCCAGGTAACTTATGTGGCCTGTGAGACCAATGTAAGGTGCATTCTTCAAATATACACTCATTATTTACAACACAATAACAGAACAAACTTTATCACTATTAGTTTGTGTATACACTTTTACACAAACAAACAATACAAAACAATGTTTATTACTATTGTTCCATAATATATATACATATGTACAGTCACTAAACACGTTCCTAGAACTGCTGTAGCTTGTGGAACTCTTTGAAACATGGGTATATGCAGAGGGGCACTTAACACTCCTCACACATAAAACGAGTGTCTCAGCGTGTTTGTGGGCGTTTTGTGGTATGCATACATACATAACACCTCTTCTGAGCATTTTTCTTGGCAGTAGTAGGAGGCAGTTGTATGGGGTAGTGATCACCAGGCCTGAAACGAGATGACGTATGTGGGCGCTGGTCTATTGCAGGAGTTGCTCCTTGGTACTTTGCAATTATTTGTCTGATTACTGACAGGCAAAATTCACCATATTTTGGTGTTTTGTTGGTCTTCAACTTGTATATGTTATAAGCATTTAGCATAGAGATATCAACAAGATGGAAAAAAAGTTTTATATACCACTTATAACTCCTGCATACACAGTCTGCAAACCCAATCTGCATGTCACATTTGTCCACTAAGCGCATATTGAGGTTGTAGTCCATGACAGCTGCAGGCTTTAGAATGGGTTCATTGGTCTCTCTGTTGTCCCTGCCACTGGGTACCATTTCGTTTCTGTGAACTGATGTCAACAATGTGACATCACGTTTGTCATGCCACCGAAATGCCATGATGTCATTGGCAGCATTGGTTATTGTGTGGTTTACATGTAGTAAAATAATAATTACAGAGTGTACCACTAGAACACCTAGCATGGCTAGGCATTTCGGGTAGACTTATATTAAATCTTAAGTTTAAAATATTACAAAATTATGAGGTAAGTTGGTATTATGGCTAAGTGACTAAATACTAGTTGTGAGTTTAGCAATGTGAATGCTTTTGTTTTGGCACTATACATAGTTTCAGTATTGGAGTATCACAGGCCAACTTATGACTAGTTAAGATTCATTATTTTGAGATTGAGATTGATATTTCTGTTTATGGTCAAATGGGTGAGTGAGTGTAAGTGTGAACCACCAGGTGGTATTCGTATTATTAGTTGACAGGGTGTATCAGGGAGATAAGATGTTTTCTGATGGTAGTTTTGAAGGTGATGAATGTGTCTGCAGTTTTGGAATTTTCAGGTAGGGTGTTCCAGATTTTAGGGCCTTTGACTTGCATTGAATTTTTGTAAAGGTTTAGTCGGACACGATCTGGTGTTGTGCCTGTGGGTTCTGTCACAACTATCAAGAAAGCGTTTTAGGTCAAGGTTAATATTGGAATTTAAGGTCCTGTAGATGTAGATTGCACAGTAGTAAGTGTGGATGTACTGAACAGGGAGTAAGTTTAGATCTATGAAGAGTGGGGGGGTGTGTTGCCAGGGATGGGATTTAGTGATTATTCTTACTGCGGCTTTTTGTTGGGTTATTATTGGCTTTAGGTGTGTTGCTGCAGTTGAACCCCAAGCACAGATAGCATAGGTGAGGTATGGATATATAAGTGAATGGTATAGTGTGAGAAGGGCAGTTTGCGGCACGTAGTATCGTATCTTGGAGAGGATCCCAAAGGCTTGCACCTCACCTCTGCGAGTGCCAGCGACGAACCTTGGCATATGTTTACGATTACGACGCACTGTGCCACACACATCTGTCAAGTTCACTCGCAAGAAATCGCTGAGTAAGGGGCTTATGTACCAGTTATCAGTAAATAACATATGCCCCTTACCAAGATATGGTTCCATCATTGTTCGAACCACATCACCAGAGATACCCAATAACTTCATGGTATCTCTCAAAGTATTACTGTCAGTGTACACAATGATATCCAAAACTAGACCACTTTTGCAATCACACAGTACAAATAGCTTTATACCAAAGCGTTTCCTCTTGCTTGGTATATATTGCTTGAATGAGAGTCTTCCTTTGAATAAAATCAAGGACTCATCAATAACAAGCTTCCTGAAGGGATAAAAATACATGCAGCACTTTTGTTTCAGGTACATAAACACATTTCTTATCTTATATAACCTGTCGCTTCTGTCAGGCCTGGTTTTGTCTGAAAAGTGTAACATACGTAACAGTATCAGGAAACGATTTACACCTATAATGTCACTAAAACCTGGAGTTGAAATCAGGCGTTCTGTTGCCCAGTATGTGGTGACAGTGTGCTTATACACATGTGGCATAAGCATTATTGTGGCAAAAAACAGGTACATCTCTGCCACAGTTGTCTCTTTCCACTTGTGTAGCCGTGATTTTGGTGAGAGAATTGTATTTGAGATGGTGTAATCACAGTATGTGTTTGTTTCCCTGACAATGATGTCCATCAGGGGTTCATCGAAGAATAACTCAAAGCAGTCCAGTTCACTGGCATTGTTCCCAAGTGGACAAGATGGCTTTATTCCACTTTGTGTTTCATCAAAGTCATGGGGACTGGGAACAAACTCGTCACCGTCCTGCCAATCCCAGATGCGGTCTGCTGGTGGGGTCTGGATATTGTACCGTGGTTGTGGTTGTGCAGGTTGTGGTGGGGCAGGTTGTGGTGGTGCAGGTTGTGGGAGTGTGGGGTAGGGTGAGGCTGGTTGTTGTGCAGAGTCAGTAGCGTGGCCCGCTGATGATGCCATATGGGCCGTGCCACCCTCACTATCACCACCACTGCCTGCTCCATCACTCGCATCATTCATACCCATCGTTACAATATCGTCATCTTCACTATCAGGTCCTGGTGTAGGGCCACGGGATGTGCTCCCAGAGTTTCTCCTTCCCCTTGGAACAACATATGAAGCACTACCGGACCGCATGCTACGTCGTACATACTGCCGCTTTACTGGGGAATGTTCACTCTCACTGTCACTAGAACTGCTTTCAATGACCTTGAAATCACTATCACTATCACTGCTAACATCTTGGTGTTGTACGCGACCAAATAGTTTCCTCTTTCGTCCTGGTACAGGCGAACGTGAACGTGAACGTGAACAAGCCGGCCAAGCACCAGAGGTGGAAGGTTGTGGGTCATCTGGGTTTTCATCACTAATTACGTTATCCTGGGCACTTTTTCCGGTAACACTCACTTCAAAACCCTGGAATTCACTGTCACTGACATTTTCATCGCTGTTAGAGCTATCACTTGGGAACAAAAGACCTCCAATCCGCCGAGGAGTGAGGAAATCCTTACCGAGAGGCATGGTGAAAATGGACTAACAACATGGCATTCCCACAATGCACCGCTGGGTCCCAGATTTTTTTCACAGGGTGCACACCGACCACTGAGACCCATTCTCTCTCATGTAGGCCTACCAGGCCTTTCCCACTTGATTTGAAGCCGCTAGAATTTGTGCGTATAAATACATCAGAAACATTGGCTCGTAAGTCGTATTTATACGTCGGAAACAGTCAAAGGGTTAACTCGCTCCAAAATTTTTTCTTATTTTCATTAAAATTTCTTGACAGTGCCTCTCCCACTCTATCATCTGCTCTCCTTTTGCACTCTCTCACCACTCTCTTCACCTTTCTTTTACTCTCCATATACTCTGCTCTTCTTATAACACTTTTGCTTTGTAAAAACCTCTCATAAGCTAACTTTTTCTCTTTTATCACACCCTTTACTTCATCAGTCCACCAATCACTTCTCTTTCCTCCTGCCCCCACATACATGTACAAGCATATATATACATACCCCTCTGGGTTTTCTTCTATTTTCTTTCTAGTTCTTGTTCTTGTTTATTTCCTCTTATCTCCATGGGGAAGTGGAACAGAATTCTTCCTCCATAAGCCATGCATGTCGTAAGAGGCGACTAAAATGCCAGGAGCAAGGGGCTAGTAACCCCTTCTGTATATATTACTAAATTTAAAAGGAGAAACTTTCGTTTTTCCTTTTGGGCCACCCCACCTCGGTGGGATACGGCTGGTACGTTGAAAGAAGAAAGATGTGTCACTCCTAGGTAGACAGCAGCCGCCCACGGAGGTACTACCGTCCTGCCAAGTGAGTGTAAAATGAAAGCCTGTAATTGTTTTACATGATGGTAGGATTGCTGGTGTCCTTTTTTTCTGTCTCACGAACATGCAAGATTTCAGGTACGTCTAGCTACTTCTACTTACACTTAGGTCACAATTGTGACCAATTGTACACATACATGTACAAGCATATATATATATATATATACACACCCCTCTGGATTTTCTTCTATTTTCTTTCTAGTTCTTGTTTTTGTTTATTTCCCTCTTATCTCCATGGGGAAGTGGAACAGAATTCTTCCTCTGTAAGCCATGCGTGTTGTAAGAGGCGACTAAAATGCCGGGAGCAAGGGGCTAGTAACCCCTTCTCCTGTATAAATTACTAAATTTAAAAAGAGAAACTTTTCTTTTTCTTTTTGGGCCACCCTGCCTCAGTGGGATACGGCCGGTGTGTTGAACGAAAGAAAGAAAGAAAGATGTGTCACTGTGTTGCAAATGTGTATTGTGCACACAGTAGGTGTAATGCTGATAAGTGGTGATAATCACTAATTGCATTGGATGTGATTATAAAAGTGTAGGGTGGGTCCATTATTTTTAAGGCAGACTTCAAAATATAAAATGTACTGTAGCATTGTAGACAAGTATTTTGTATGGATATTTTGTATTTGTTTATTAACTTTTATTTAATTTGCAGAATATGATGAATGTTCCAGTTTAGATCATGGATGTGAACATAACTGCATTAATCAATTGGGCAGTTATGAATGTCGCTGTAAAATAGGGTATGAACTCCACTCGGATGGCAAGAGATGTGAGGGTAAGTAGGAACAGCAGGAATAAAAAGTTTCATGCAAGAACAGATATGGTAATAAAATATTTGTGTTTGAGAGTTGGCAAAATTCTTGTCTAATTTTCATTTAGTCACTTTGGTGATGTAAAGAACATTATTCCTGGAGAAACATACCTGTAAGGATCATACAGTGCCTAGAGAATGGAAAGTGATGAGGATTGATCTCAGGAAGGGGAAAATAGCTCATCATGGTAAAAACCAGTTACTGTATATGATACCAACAAATTGAAAAAATATGAAAATGGTGTATAATACAGACGAAGAGTAAGATGCATCTTCAACGGTTGGGTATCTTTATTGTTGATTGAAAAGTTTTGCCTGCACAGTAGGCTTCTTCAGTCTTATACAGAAGTGATAAAATTGAGGCAGCACATGTAGTAGTGAAAAAAAGATGATTGTGATCAGTCCATCAACCTTTGAGAAAGTTTTAAAGATGGTCAGTCCCTCAGCCTGGAGAAGAGTTCAGCTCCATAGTCTGGAACATTGTTGCAGACTATGTTGGTTTACATATTCCCTTGGACTCAGGTCCAGGATGACTCACCATCTTTTTCTACATAATTTGAAGTCTGTTTTTCAGTCTGTTAGTGCAAAGTAATATGAAGAATCTACATGACATGGTATAGGAGCTAGACATAAGGTGCATATACTTGTGAAACTAGCAACACCACAAAATATCAATGAATAGTTCATAATTTTTTTTATACTATTCTGGGATATTTATGCTATTTTCTTTGAATGCTAAGAAATTAAAATATAAAAGCTTTCCATAATCTCTGTAGACAGGAAATCTCTTCTATATATATTACAATCTTGCTTAGGGAGCAAAAATGGAGAGTGATCTTTTATTGTAGATTTGGAATTCTTAACCCTGTACAGTATTTGATTTCCCTTAATGATAACTTGCCTTCAGATGCATGTGGCGGGAAAATTGATCAACCAAATGGAACTATAACAAGTCCATCATTTCCTGACCTGTATCCTGTAAACAAGAACTGTATATGGGAAATTATTGCACCACCTCAGTACCGAATTACTTTGAACTTCACCCATTTCGATCTCGAAGGCAACAATGTAAGTGAATGGATGAGTAATAATTTAATGTTATTCATATCTCATCACTATGAACTCAACATTGATCCTACAGGTAAGTCTGTGAAAGCAGATGAATGATTATTTTTTCCCACTTGCTTCGTGTATTTTTACAAGTTTTGTTAATCCAGACATTAGTATGGTTGGTTGTCAGGCAATTTTTTTTTATATGGGGAAATGCTAAATCTTGAAGGGTCATACAGCACTTGGGGAATGGAAGGATTGTTCCATTTCCTTGGATCAGAAATCCTTCATTGGTATGAAGGAACCCCTCACCATTTTCTCTTCCAGGAGGACTTGCTGGTCAGGAAACTGAAAAATCTCCTGATATGGGTCTATCACACAATGATCCATTCACTAATTAAACAACCGCTGACTTACTAGAATTAAAGTTTTACTACAGTTAAAGCATAAAGGGTTGCGTTTTTGCATATTGTGTCCAGTGTTCTGGTCCAAGCAGTAGTTTGTGTTCATGAAAGTGTCATTAGTAGTATACATGGAGGCCCCGCTTTACAGTGCTTTGTTTTATGGCATTTTGCTTATGCAGCAGTTTTCAATTTTACACATTCTTCATTTATTCAGACTGTCTACAATAAACAAACACACAAATTTTATTTCTTTGCAGGATTACATTGAGAATATACAATAAACAAACACACAAATTTTATTTCTTTGCAGGATTACATTGAGAATATGAAATTATAATAATGAGTTGCAGTGTGAAGAGAGCCACTATCATGCCTAGGCATTATGGGCAGACTTAATTTAATGGCTTACAGACTACTTAATACTAAATAAATTGATCATAGTTTAAGGCTGGAGGCAGTGGAGATGTCATGTCTGAGGGCAATGTGTGGTGTGAATATAATGCAGAGAATTCGTAGTTTGGAAGTTAGGAGGTAGGAGGTGCGGGATTACCAAAACTGTTGTCCAGAGGGCTGAGGAAGGGTTGTTGAGGTGGTTCGGACATATAGAGAGAATGGAACGAAACAGAATGGCTTCAAGAGTGTATCAGTCTGTAGTGGAAGGAAGGCGGGGTAGGGGTCGGCCTAGGAAAGGTTGGAGGGAGGGGGTAAAGGAGGTTTTGTGTGCGAGGGGCTTGGACTTCCAGCAGGCATGCATGAGCGTGTTTGATAGGAGTGAATGGAGACAAATGGTTTTTAATACTTGACGTGCTGTTGGAGTGTGAGCAAAGTAACATTTATGAAGGGGTTCAGGGAAACCGGCAGGCCGGACTTGAGTCCTGGAGATGGGAAGTACAGTGCCTGCACTCTGAAGGAGGGGTGTTAATGTTGCAGTTTTGAAAACTGTAGTGTAAAGCACCCTTCTGGCAAGACATTGATGGAGTGAATGATGGTGAAAGTTTTTCTTTTTCGGGCCACCCTGCCTTGGTGGGAATCGGCCAGTGTGATAATAATAATAATAATCTATTTTTATTTATAGTAGACATTAATTGTACAGTGGACCCCCGCATACCGTCGGCCTCACATAACGTTCAATCCGCATACCGCTCGCTTTTATCGCAAAAATTTTGCCTCGCATACCGCTCAAAAACCCGCTCACCGCTCTTCGTCCGAGACGCGTCCAATGTGCGCCCTTAGCCAGCCTCACATGTGCCGCCGGTGGCATTGTTTACCAGCCAGCCTCCGCGGTAACATCCAAGCATACAATCGGAACATTTCGTATTATTACAGTGTTTTTGGTGATTTTATCTGCAAAATAAGTGACCATGGGCCCCAAGAAAGCTTCTAGTGCCAACCCTACAGCAATAAGGGTGAGAATTACTATGGAGATGAAGAAAGAGATCATTGATAAGTATGAAAGTGGAGTGCGTGTCGCCGACCTGGCCAGGTTGTACAAGAAACCCTAATCAACCATCGCTACTATTGTGGGCAACAGAAAGGCAATCAAGGAAGCTGTTCTTGCCAAAGGTTTAACTGTGTTTTCGAAACAGAGATCGCAAGTGATGGAAGATGTTGAGAGACTCTTATTGGTGTGGATAAATGAAAAACAGCTAGCAGGAGATAGCGTCTCTCAAGCGATCATAAGCGAAAAGGCTAGGAAGTTGCATGAGGATTTAATTAAAAAAATGCCTGCAACTAGTGATGAGGTGAGTGAATTTAAGGCCAGCAAAGGTTGGTTTGAGAGATTTAAGAAGCGTAGTGGCATACATAGTGTGATAAGGCATGGTGAGGCTGCCAGTTCGGACCACAAAGCAGCTGAAAAATATGTGCAGGAATTCAAGGAGTACATAGACAGTGAAGGACTGAAACCTGAACAAGTGTTTAATTGTGATGAAACAGGCCTGTTTTGGAAGAAAATGCCAAGCAGGACCTACATTACTCAGGAGGAAAAGGCACTCCCAGGACATAAGCCTATGAAAGACAGGCTTACTTTGTTGATGTGTTCCAATGCTACTGGTGATTGCAAAGTGAAGCCTTTATTAGTGTATCACTCTGAAACTCCCAGACCGTTCAGGCAAAAGAATGTACTCAAGGAGAATTTGTGTGTGCTGTGGAGGGCAAACAGTAAGGCATGGGTCACTAGGGACTTTGTGTGTGCTGTGGAGGGCAAACAGTAAGGCATGGGTCACTAGGGACTTTTTCTATGACTGGTTACACCATGCATTTGCCCCCAATGTGAAAGATTACCTAACTGAAAAGAAATTAGAACTTAAGTGCCTCCTGGTGTTCGACAATGCCCCTGGTCATCCTACAGACGTGGCAGAGCGACTTTATGGGGACATGAGCTTCATTAAGGTGAAGTTTTTGCCTCCTAATACCACTCCTCTCCTGCAGCCCATGGACCAGCAGGTTATTGCAAACTTCAAAAAACTGTACACAAAAGCTCTGTTTGAAAGGTGCTTTGTAGTGACCTCAGAAACCCAACTGACTCTAAGAGAGTTTTGGAGAGAGCACTTTAATATCCTCAATTGTGTAAACTTTATAGGTAAGGCTTGGGAGGGAGTGACTAAGAAGACCTTGAACTCTGCTTGGAAGAAACTGTGGCCAGAATGTGTAGACAAAAGGGATTTTGAAGGGTTTGAGGCTAACCCTGAAAGGATTATGCCAGTTGAGGAATCCATTGTGGCATTGGGAAAGTCCTTGGGGTTGGAGGTTAGTGGGGATGATGTGGAAGAGTTGGTGGAGGAGGACAATGAAGAACTAACCACTGATGAGCTGATAGATCAACTTCAACAGCAAGAGGCCAGACCTGAGGAAACTGGTTCGAAGGAGGGGAGAGAGAAATTGAAGAAATTGCCTACTACAAAGATTAAGGAAATCTGTGCAAAGTGGCTTGAAGTGCAAACCTTCATGGATGAAAATCACCCTCACACAGCTATTGCAAGCCGTGCTGGTGATTATTACACTGACAATGTTGTGAAACACTTTAGGGAAGTCATAAAGGAACGAGAGGTACAGGCCACTATGGACAGATATGTTGTGCGAAAGAAGTCCAGTGACTCTGAAGCTGGTCCTAGTGGCATTAAAGGAAGAAGGGAAGTAACCCCAGAAAAGGACTCGACACCTCAAGTCTTAATGGAAGGGGATTCCCCTTCTAAACACTAACACTCTCCCCTCCTCCCATCCCATCAATCATCACCAGATCTTCAATAAAAGTAAGTGTCATGTAATTGTGCATGCCTTTTTCAGTTTGTGTGTATTAAAATTAACATTTCATGTGGTAAATTTTTTTTTTTTTTCATACTTTTGGGTGTCTTGCACGGATTAATTTGATTTCCATTATTTCTTATGGGGAAAATTCATTCGCATACCGATCATTTCGCATAACAATGAGCCCTCTTGCACGGATTAAAGTCGCTATGCGGGGGTCCACTGTACTCAAATTACAATAGTTTCAATAATAAATATTGAAATTATATTAAGAGTAGTTGAAAGTTTACAGTATGAGAATGCTACAGTTGGCTGTAAGGCAGTATTGTTTTAGGTAGGTGTTTTTAATTCAATGTAGTATTAATCAATGTATGAACTTTGGGCGTCTTGTTTTAAAGTTTTAAGATTAGGTAATTGGGAGATTTTTTGGTAAAGTTAAATATTGAGTATTTAGTTTAGGGTGAGTAAGTGGTTATTGAGAAGTCTTAAATTTTGGGACCCTTTATGTGAATTGAGTTTTTACACAGTGTGATATGGACTTTGGGTACATAAAAAAAAGAGATCTGTGTCATGTGTCCTGTTAAGGTTGGTGAGGAGAAGTTTGAGTGGAGGATTTACATATGTAGTAGACACATGAATAAGCATGGATGTTCTTTACGGTGAGCAGTTTTAGGCCTTTGAATATTGGTGGAGTGTGCTGCTGGGAGTGGGAATTTATCATTCTGACTGCAGCCTTTTGCTGGGTTATTAGTGGTCTTAGGTAATTTAATGTTATTGATCCCCATGCACAAATTCCAAATGCGAGATAAGGGTAGACGAGTGAATGATAGTGCGAGGAGAGCTGATTGTGGAACATCAATATAATTTACTCATTTTAAGCCAAGGACAAAAATATTTAATGTGTGGACTGTATATGCATTTTTTAGGCCTAGCTCTATTGCTCACTTAATATATGATAGTGTAAACATGTTATCAGGCTTTTGTGTATGTTTGAAAGTGAAAAAAAAAGACTGCTTCACTTTACAGCAATATTTGCTTTGCAGCAGTAGCCCAGACCCTAACCTACTGTATAAGCAGGGTCCTCCTGTACTTTATGCAGTATCTTGTCTAGTATAAATTTTGTTGCTCTTAAGTTGAAATATGTCTTGTAATACAGTTTCTACCTGTATGTATAGTGTATCAGGCTCAATACAGTAGTCATAAGTGAGAATCTAAAGGCTTTGTGAAGGTGAATGACTATTTTCTCGTTCATCTATTAAGAGGTAGAGATGTTTGATTATTTCTAGAATTTGCTTCTCTATTTGCAACTGGTGCCATTTGTATTAGTTTTCAGTGATTGATGAATTATTACATCAAGCAGTGCTTTGA